ATGGCGGCGCGTTAGTTTAAGCCACGGAGCCCTTCCGCCACTCCAGGAGCTTTAGTGTAACCACCTTGATTACACCCAACATGAACGGGCGCAATTTATCGTAACACCCATATTTTAGGAGTGCTCATGAACACTGCGCTTTTCTTGCGTCCTCACGGATTACTCGCCACAGGTTCCCCAAACCGAAGATGAAGAAGAAGAGGAAGAAGGCGAAGAAGAAGAACAACATAAAATGAGACCACTAGAACTATTGGAAAAGGAAGCTTTACGATTGTGCCTTGAACTACCCAAGTTTGTTGCTAACAATGTGCTATACATGAAAGCGCGTATACCTTCATTGTTAAATAGATTCAAAATACTAACTATCCAAACATTTTTAAAACTATACACTTCGCCACAGAAAGAGTCGTTTTAATCTTTTATTAAAGACCCATGCTTATTTTTTTTTGAAACTCGGTGGTCGCGTTTCTACTCCTCAGTGGTCATGTTCGTTCAAGCGCTGCTTGAACCACTGAACATGAAAATCAAATATATTTTCTCAACAGCTAAGTTTTATTTCAACCTTCAGATATAATTTGAACATATTTACCCTTTTAACGCGAAGCGAATTCCATTTCACTATTCAAATGATTGGCTTCAAAATTACACAAGAACATGAACGACATAATTGCGAATGATGCATCCGTATCAAATGAAAAGGCTGGGGCGGGTATCTTCTCGCGTTTCCTTGACTTGTCCTTTTCAGTTAGGCTCGCAAATTACACACCAATATTTATAGGAGAATTTCTATTTCTAGTGTACTGGCACTGCGAAAACTTCTTTTGGGGAAATCAGAAGCAGCCGTAAATATAGATTCTGTTTCAGTAAGTGGTGCTCTGTCTTCGGGAGCCATTTTAGCACTTATGCATATGTTTCAGCAACTCGAACTGACTGACTTGCACAAACTTTAGCTGTTATGCGTACAAGGCCATCGTTTATTATATTTCAATGAGATGGCGGATGCATTAGTCACATAATCTCTTAGCCGTCCCCTTATCCCAATTTTGCCTGATACGGCTTACGCGGTAGCAATAAAGTTTAGAAACCTTTGTTTGCATGAAATCAACTCCTACTCATTGGTTAAATTTTGAGATTGATTGATATGTAGGGTTTAACGTCCCAAAAACGCCATATGATTAAGAGAGATGCCGTAGTGGGAGCTCCGGAAGTTTCTACCAGCTGGGGTTCTTTAACGTGCACCCAAATCTGAGCACACGGGCCTACAACATTTCCGCCTCCATCGGAAATGCAGCCGCAGCAGCCGGAATTAGATCCCGCGACCACCGGGTCAGCAGCCGAGTACCTCAACCACTAGACCACCGCGTGGGGCTAAATTTCGAGATTTCGCACTTGAGATGCTGCTGGAATAAACAGTGGTGCACAACACGGCAATTGAAAGTTACTTATACAAGATTGCGTTGTATAATTCCACAACAAAATTTTTACTTACATAAAGTTGGTGTAAAGACGTCACCTTTATGTCAGGTTTGCGAAGAAATAGAAACAATAGATTATTTCTTTTTATTCTGTCGCCGATATTCTTATCGGCGGAAAAAATATCTGGTAGCTGCTCTTCAAAAATTAAGACTAGAAATAAATGTGGCCAAACAGTAAAATTACGGCAACATTTATTTGTAGTCTTAATTTTATCCACATTTAATTCTAGAATTAAATTTGGCCGTAATTTCATTGTTTGGCCACATTAAATTAGGTTATGACGACAGGCACGTGTGCTCTGCGGTATTTGACTACATAATTGAAACAAGGAGATTCTCATGATTTAGTGCCTTTTTTATATATCATTTGTTTTGGACCCACCATTACCTCTGTCTCAAACCACACCTGATAGCCTACATCCATCCTTGCTTAAATAAACTCCTTTTTCAATTTTGGGCTTTTCTTTCTATATCTATGCATATTTCTTTTCACTCCAAAATACATGGTGTTTGTAAAACCGTAAGTCTTTCCCGTAAAGATTCTGCCGCTCAGTTCCTGGCTGATGCCCCTTTTAACAAGGATGGTCATCACCATCGACAACAGAGAAGCAACACCTGCGAGCGTATACAATGACGAAGTAGTGAATCAGTGGTACCGTAGCACGGCAAAATAATCCAAGAATTCAGCTGCACGTTGCCACACGGTGGTATTTTTGCAATCACCCGACTCCCGAAGACAGTCCGTCACGAGTCTACTCACACATTACTCAACGGCAACGAGCAGCACAGGCGCATACTTCACTGATTTTCTCGACCGCTTGCCGACCGCTTTGTGCCGCCTCATGCAGGGCTCGATCGACGTAGCGCCGCGCTGGTGCCTCGTAAGCGCCACCTTAGCACCTATACCCTTCGGAATCAGGAAAACGTGGAATTTTTCGTTTCTGAGGGGTGTCAGAAGGCGGTCATGTTTCGTCGAAACTGAAACGCCAGCACGACATCGAAGCGGCGTTTCGCACACTCGCATTCCGTCATCCTGCGCCACAAGAAACTTCCTTCACCGGCATCACAACGCACGCTATAGCCATATCACACGGCTTCCCGGTTCTTCCTGTCACGGCAGGACCGTCGTCGACTTCGGTGCGGTGTCCCGCCAAATCGGAAGTTTCATGGTACACGCTGCGTGCGCTGAAGGCAACAGACACACATTTTCGCCGGTGATTTTTTTAGTCATTGCAGAAGCGTTGGTTGGACTGCCAGCGTGCCATGATAGAGCCATGTTGAATGTGTGATATAAGGCGCATTTCTGTGGTGGTTTTTTCCTTAGTTTCTATTTACTGTAAAAAGGGGGTACTGTATTTTACGGTAAGTTTTCGTGTACGAATATGACATTTAGATATTGCATCAGTGAATAAAAGCGCTGTAGCAAGTCTCGTGACATGCCTGATAATATGCACCGGCACGCATTCAGTGTGACGTCTTGGTCGTAATCCAGAGAACACATGCAAGCGTGGCTTCGATGTCTTGCAAAAGAACGTTTGTTTCTAACATGTTGGTAAGCTAGGGAAGAAACTTTAGTTGGACGAGGATAAAAGCAATGAAGTGAAACCAGCGCTGCTGTTGTCGGTGCACAATGCTGGATTTACATAAGCGGACGTCGAAGTTTCGTTGCTGCTATTTGCTCGGCGGTTGGCCGAAGCTCTATACGTTGTGTGAAATAATGAATTTAAATGCCTCGCAATTAACTTCCATCGCTTCTCGGCCTATTGGCTGAGATGAAAGCACAAGATCGCAATCCCGACTTCTGCTACGCGCTGTTGACTTCCTTACTAAAACGGCCAGCGTCGCACAGGCACTCGCAAAATCCATTACGGACGACAGAAAGCCCTCACAAAAAAGACAACTACAGGGGCAAACTTTCCCGCTAAATTTGGCGGTAGTATGGCAAGTATGACAAAACTGACGCGCGAAGCCTGGCAACCACTTATGAAATGCAAAATAACCTTGCCCGAAAACTCAGAACGCGAGCATATTCAGAAAGACGCAAGGCCACACGTGAATCTTTATTTAGGTACCTTCATTTCAGTGTCAACAGGGCGCCGAGTTGAATGAGGACCACGAACACCACGCAATGTCGCGAGACGCCTACAGGCAGGGTTGAGCGGGGGGTCTTCGACGTGCTAGCGGCAATAAACGCTAGAGTATTCCATACACCCTGTGCACTATTTCGAAATAAGATGGAAATGGCTTACCTTGACGCACGCATCCTCCAAGAGTGAGCAGTAAGTGGCGACCACACCACGCTCAATGCCGGTAATCTCGAGGGAACGCGCTAAGCGTGCCTAAAGTGTTCGAAGAAACAGTACTAAGTGGCCACCAAACGATGCTCGTCAAGCGGCTAATAAATACATCGCTGACACGCTCAGCGCGCCTAAATTATCGGGCAGAGAAAGCAGTAATCAACGTGCAGCTGACACGGAAACGTTAGCAAATGTATCGACAAGGCGTCCAAACTGTGCAAGCACTTAAATATGACCAAGCCACTTTCAATCATCGCAAGCCATCCCCAGACGCACTACTGCATCTGGTGATGGTGGATGTGGTTGTAAGGGAGAAGAAAAAGGCACCTAATTTCTGTCTGCCTGAGCGGTGACACGGCGCAGTGCCTTATAGGGGTGGGGGGAAGGAAGGATAAAAAGAATAAAAGGAAATAGATGAAGAAATAGAGAGGCAAGCGACAGAAAATAGAAGAAGATAGGAAAGGGGGGATCCGGTCGATGCAGTCCAAGGGCGGGGCACCACAATGCGAGAGCTGCACGGCATCAGGAGACCGCGCAGGGAGAACCAGTCGGCGGGAGCTACGCTGGCGTCGGAGATTGCGAGGGCGCGACCGTTCAGCTTGAAATCCTGCGGGCGAATCCCCCTGCATCTGTCCACAACGAAAAAATTGCACCGACTCTACCTACACACCTCCCACGGAGCGTCCGTGCCCCCTCCACACCCTTTCGCAGCCTGCCGCGACACGAGACGCGATGATAAGGTGGCGCCACCGCTAAGCTCACTTGTTGTCGCCTTCCGTGTCGCACGAGAGGTTAGCCTCGATGTCCTCGTCGTTCGCGTCGCATCGGAGCCGCCTGGAGACAACAACCAGGTGGAGCGCCTCTCTTGCCCACTCCCGGACCTCCGTGTTCGTCGACGTCAGGAGCTTGAGGGCTCCGTCCACCCAGCAGATGTCGCTCAGCTGCCTAAGGGATCCCTGCAGTGCCGGCCCGTGTGCTCCCGTACACGTAGTCGTTGTATGCTCTAGCTGGCACTTAGAGGGTCTTCTTGGTAAGGGGGCGGAGCTCGTCGTCTAAGCGCTGCCTTTCTCCCTTGCTGGCGAGGCCCACCTGCATGTCGAAGTTTAAGGGCTGGATATAGGAAAGTTTTAATTGCATCCAGCCTCTGCCACGGGGTGAGCATTGAGGAGAGTAGCTTCATGCCTCGGTGGATGGCCTCGTCGACGGTCGTTTGGTCTGGGATAAGCTCCTAGGTGCCAGCTGCTGCCACGACACAGGTGGTGTTGGTGCGGTAGACCTCTTCCAAGATCTCCGCGAAGGTCTCCCCCGCGCCCACGCCGTGGACAGCATCAACGAGGGCCTGGTGGGTGACCGAGCCGAAGGCATCAGCGTAGTTGAGGAAACCTACGCACAGCTCCCCAGCTTTTGTCCTGGCGTCATCCAGGCGACCCTGCAGCATGAAGCTGTTTTCAAACACGACATCGTATGGCAGGATGCCCTTGTGACACCTGGACAAGACCGCATGGTCGCCCAACCACCGCTGCAGCCAGGTTGTGAGACACCCGACATTCAGTTTGTCGAAAGTTCGACCAAGGGCAATGGGTCACCAGTTTGTAGGATCCTCACAGTCACCCTTCTTGTACATCAGTGTGGTCCTCAATGATTTCCAGCTCTGGGTTGTGTGGCGGTGTAGGAGGCAGACGTTGAAAACTGCCCCCAGGAACCGCCCGTCAGGATTCACCTGTCTCCAGTGGTGGTAGGTCAGACGGTACTCCCCAGGAGCTGTGCTTTCGCACCTCCTCGGGAGAACAGGATCGAAAGTGGAAGAGCCCAGAATTGCTTTCATTATTGTTTCGTGGGGCCGTAAATAAATAAGTCCCACTAGTAACATTGCTTTTCTAGGTACACAGGTGACGTAGCGCAACGCGGCAAAGGAAAGAGTAGCGCGTGACAATCTACGCGTGCAAGACACTTGCAATAACGCAAATTGGGTGGTCATGCAAATTCACTTAAAACTTCAACGGTCATGCAATGGCATGTACCGATGGACGCACATAAGACGCACGCACAGTTTAATGAGTCTGTCGTAAGTGTTCGTGATATATTGCGCGCGACCCAGCGATCACTTCACTTACGCAGTTTCCTAAATAGGTGAAGGTAGGGGTGCGAACAGATGCGACGAAGCACGCGATCGTTCGCTGAGTCCTAAGCGCCGAGGGCACCCACGATGACGGCGTCGACGGTGACCCACCCGTTGATACCGGCGACGGAGAAACGCATCCACCGGCTCATAATGAGCCAGCTTGGCGTTGCGGGCGTTCTAGAAGGCATGCGGCGTGTTCTAGAAGGGGCACGTGACGTCGATGACTATTGCCTCTTGGCCATGCACCAGGACGAGATCGGGACGCAGGCTCGTGTCTCCGACGGCCTGGTTCTCGAAAGCCACCATGAACTCGCGGGAGGCGGCAGTCGGGACGCAATCCACGATGGCGTTGTGGCGGCCCTGGTAGAGCGCGCTGTGAGGCATGCAGTGGCATACCACATGCGGCAGTGTCTCCCTCAGGTAACCACAGACGCGGCGCCGTTGATCTCTGTCCAGCGCGCCCCACATGCGTGTGCCGTTGAGTGGAAGCAGGTTAAGGCAGGCCCTGTGCACGAACCGCCAGTCCGCGAAGGTGGTGAAGGAGCCCGTACGCATAAAATGCAAACTGGCGTGGTCAGCCGCCACGCAGGCTAGCACCTTCCCTTGTTTGGGGAGGTTGTGTGGGCGCGGTCCCGTTTCGTTGCCAGCACCACACGTAGCGTCCGCATGACGTGGCACTGGTGCTGCGCAGTAATCGTGGCGTCACCGCAGGTGAGTCAAACGCCGCCAGGTCGAGGGACCAGGCGACGTTGTAGCGGTGGAACGCTTTTCGGGTATTTGTCGCTATGGACCGCGGCTGGTTGGCCGGGACCCGGAAACCGTTTCAAAGCGATCCCCCAAGGTAGGCCTGCAGCTCCGCACGGGTGACCTCCCAGCCGAGACGGGCAGTGGCGATCGCGTGGGCGTCGTCTGGGGCGATCTGCCGCAACTCGGCGTCGGGTGACGTTAGAAGCTTGAAGGCTGAGTCGATGCGGCAGAGGTCGCTGAGCTCCGCTGCAACCGAGATCCCGAAGGCACCACCAGGGGCGGAACCGTAAATGTAGTTGGTGGCCGCGTTGGTAGGCAGGTAAAGCGGGAGACACAAGGTGCGATTTGGCATCCGATGCGGCGCGTGGCACCGCATGCCGCGTAAGACGGTTTAAGGCACATGGGGCGAGCAGCCATCAGCGCTCGGGTTCCGCCCACAAACGACCCCTAAGCTCGCACGCTTGGGAGACATCGCATCCTTTTTATTAGGCACAAAATAAAGAAGCTCACGCTGCCATGCTTTGTTATCTGCTAACATCGCCAACAAAGCTACGCCTTCACAAGCGGCATACATCGACACAGCCCACATTCATTATCGACTCCGAGCGTAGGCTTAGCAAGGCCGATGTTCTCGATAGTGCCGCTGTCTTTCCGACTTGACCTCAATGTCCAGCACTTCTTTTTACCAACACGATAAAACCTTGTACACTTATATGACGCTTTCGCCCGTGCGACCTGTTTAATCAACGGCGTCGATGTAAAAAGCAAACGTGGAAACGACGCGGGCTGGTTCGCCGAGACCACCGGTACCACTGTTTGTTTACCTACGAAATCATCACGGCTGTCCATCACGGCTCGACATATCGTCGTTGGTTCGGAAACCGGCGTTGCCTTGCAGAAATAGTACACTTCAAGCATCACTTTATTCAATCAAGAGTTATTTCACGTGAGAAACAGTCTATCCAATGTTTTTGATGCCACTGGCTACGGCGATATCCACAAATCCGACGGCGATCGGAGCGGCGAGGCAGAAACTTGCGACGGCGCCCACCTTTGGCACCCGTTGTCACATTCCGGCGCTGCCCTTGGCTGCGGCCGCCAAACCGGCGCGGCTGCCGTGCGGCTACATTCAGCAAGTTGGATGCACGCGCGGCGTACGAATCGTCGCTGCATCCTGTCGGACACCAGTCGGGTGCGGCTGTTGGCACGAACAGCCGTACGGCAAATCGCATCCGAATTCGCACGATATGTCTCCCGCTTAAAGCGTACAGTTTACCAGCGGCCGAATGGCGTCGTCCAGTCGGCGCCAGTCCATCATCGACAGGACTTTGCACCGCATCAGAAAGCTGAACGCAGGGTAGATGAAGGTCCGGAGGGCATCCAGACGCTGCCACGGCGCCAACGTCGATGACAGGATCGCCCGGGCTTGGGCGACATTGAATTCGCAGCGGAAGCAGAGCTGGAGGGTATACGAAAGCCGATGGGCCGTCCCAGACACCGCTGCGGCTCGAAGTCACGCAGTACCGAGATGGGGATGCCTGAAACTATAAACTACGTCGGGCGCATTCCCACAGGTGTCGATCCGACCATGTGGAAAGACAGGCCCAGGGACGCGGCGAGGGTCTCGATGCAATCGATGCGCTGTTAGAGTATGCGAGGAGCCGAGGCCAGCGGAGTCAGGTCGCCCGCGTAGGTGAAGATCTTGTAGTCAGAATCACCACCCTGCACTGCGTGGATGACCGGGTGGATTACCAAGTTGAACAACAGTACACTTAGTGGGCAACCCTGACGCAGCCCGGCCAGGATCGGGATCGCGTCAGTTGTTCCCTCGGCTGCAATGATGCACGTCTGATTTGCCATGTACAGGTCGCCGATGACGTCCGTGAACACGGAGTCGGTGCCAACACCGTGGAGGGCGTCGAGCAACGCGTCGCGCGGGAGAGAGCCGAAGGCGTTGTTGAAACCGACAGCACAGCACACAGGTTGGGGCCTCCCGATCGGGCGATGTCGAGACTGCGCTGGAGACTGTAGCTAAGCTCAAACACGCCGTCGTGTGAAAGGAAGCCTTTCTGGCACTGCGACAAGTTCGATAATCCAGGCCTCAAGCCGGGCTGCAAAGCAGTTGCCGTAAAGCTTCGATGCCTTTCAGCCGAGGGCCATGGGCCGCCAGTTGGAAGGGACTTAGGGGTCTCCTCTCTTGAAGAATAAGACAGTCCGAGTCGTCCTCCAAGAATCTGGCATGCGTCGGTGGTGTGGGCAGGCATTGAAGAGCGCCGTCAGGAACTGTGCCTCCAGGTCGACCGTCCGCCAATGGTGGTATGATGATGTGTGGCGCTTTATGGTGTAAGGGCCAATTGATGGCCAAAGAGCGTCATTTCAATGGCTAGAGATTTGGACAAGGATATGTTGCGTCGCTGTAAAGGGGCCTTAAAATTCCTCGCTCTATAGCGGGTAAAACATAACTGATAAAATCATGACAGGGGCGTAATAAGAATCGTAAAAATTGGTGACAAATGGTTTTGATAATAAAAACATGTGTAAAGGTATTTGGCACTAGCACCTGTGCCTCATAAGCGCCCTTGTGTCCAAGGGCTGCGAAGCACGTGCTTTTAAATGCAGTCACTGCAGCAGAAACCTCTTTTAAGAGGTCACGCTACGAATATCCTGGGTGTATGACATGATAAAAGCGAACATCTCTTAAAAAGGCTAGCACTGATTTACGAGTGAACAGTGGTTCCCTATTGGCGAACATTGCAGGGTGTAAAGGTATATGTAATCGGTAGGGTAATGGAAAGTGTTGTTTTCACAACACCTTCACCACATCTGTCACACAATGGTAGATCACCACTGGACAAAAGATATCAGTGTGTCGTGTATGTGTGTTCCATCCTGAGCCTCGTTAGTGTTACCTCTATATGACGTGAATTTGATACTGGCGGCCAATGGCCAAGGTGTGGCTTAATAATGTGTAGTTTGTTTTGTGTGTGCCTATCCCACTTGCTCTGCCAGTAGTTCCTGCGCTTTCGTTTAAGAGACGGCTTAAGGTCAAGGGCAGGGATTGATATTGGTGTAAGGGCTGTGCTTTCGTGGACGGATGCAGCAAGCTGATCGGCCATCACGTTGCCTGGAATCTCACCGTGCCCTGGCACCCAGCAAACGACATGTTGTTTGAGTGTGTAGAGTGTGCCTAAAATGGAGTAAAATGAGACGAGAACACGATTTTTTTTCTCCTTTAAGAGTATGCAGGGCCGTTGCCACACTGAGAGAGTCCGCATAAATTACTGCTTTCCGTAGTTGTACTTGCTTGATGTGTTTAGCGGCGACAAGCATCTCATAAGCTTCCGCTGAGAAGATACTTGTTTCTGGATGTAGGGGGCCAGCATCCGAAAAGGATGGGCCGACAGCAGCGTAGGACACAGATGAGATAGACTTGGAGGCATCTGTAAAGAACTCGGGACGTGTCTATTTGTGTTGAAGTTCCAGGAAGTATGTTCCGATATGGGCAATGGGCGCGTGTTTTGTAATTTCTCGGAAAGCCACATCGCATTATATAGTGTGTCACTGCCAAGGTGGTTCGTATGCTATAGGAGCCAATAAACTGTGTTCCAGTGAGACACCAGTTTCCTCAGATAGTCCCGTGAGGCGAACTGAGTAGGGCGGCCTCATCGAAGGCCTGTTTTGAAACAGTATGGAGCTCAAAAAATCAATAATAGTGGAGTATGAGGGGTGCTTCTCGTCTGCTTCACCTTAAGGAAATATCCAAAGGACATGTAAGTTCTCTGCAGATGAAGCGACCACTCACTTGACTCAACGCAAAGGTTTTCTACGGGGCTGGTGCGAAAAGCACCCGTAGAAAGGCGGATGCTCAAATGGTGCATGGGTTCCAGCATCTTCAAAGCACTTTGAGTCGCAGACTGATAAACAATGGCCCCATAATCTAAGGGGGCGTGAATGAG